TTGCTTTTATTTCTAGCTCCTTGACCCCCCCAAAGGCAATGAAATGAGGTTTTCGCTTTGACCATCACCCACTTGGGATGGCTAAATATGGGATATCCAGTGCTCTGCTTTTCCCCTGCTTCTAACAATATTCCTCCATGAGAAAAAGCATCTTAATTCCAAGATACTGCACCAAAGCTGAGACTAAGCCCCCTGCTGTTGGTTTTAGTCTTTTCTCTCCTGTTGCACACTTATTTCCTAAGATAAGAAGCTCCCTGGAGCAAGGTAAGTCTCTGAACTACATCAGTTCTTCACATCTGGGTGAAGATGTGGCAGATGTGGCTTAAACTAAATGATGCTACAAATTGTAACAGCAACAATTAGGAAGGACGGGGGTAACAGTAAAATTGGCGAGGAAGAAAGTGAGATTTAGACTGGTGGGGACCAGGAAGCCAAAAAAAAAACCAATGAGTGGATGAAAACACTAATGGCAAGTTGTACCAAGCCAGGGTGATGTCGGCTGGGAGGCTGCCTGGGCGTGCAGCACTTGTGTTTTGAGGTGCTGCAACCTAGTGGCTACGGAGAGGACTGGCAGAGTGATCCAGAGCCCTGGCGAGCAGGAAAACCTCTGCCTCGGGGCTCACCTGCAGTCACAGACAGCTTCACTGCCATGGTTTCCCCGAAGAGGCCGTTGCGCTTCACCCCGCACCAGTACCACCCTGCGTCCTCCTCTGTCACCGAGGCAAAGCTCAGGATAACTGTCCTGTTGGAGGTGTTGCAGGTTGCCTCTGGCCCCGGCTGCCTCAGATCAGAGGCTGGCATCACGGAGCAGCCGCTGGGGCTCCACTTGCACCAGTACTTCTCGTAGGAGTAGTAGGCGCACGGGTAGGAGCAAGTTAAATCCACCCGTGAGCCCACTCGCGCCTCCACTTCCTTCTGTCCTGTCAGGTAAGGTTTTCCTGCAAGGGCAAATGGAACATCAAGGCTGGTGTTAGTGGTTTCAGTGCTGGGAATGTCAGCCAGCAGGTAGTGGTGCTGCTACAGATGGATCTTCGAGGGAAAGTGCTCCCTGCATTGGTAAATTAATGCTAAGGATGCTGTTTATGCATCTCTGGGTGAAAACTGGGGGGGAGGGGGTGTGTTTCTTACAAGGCTTAAGAAATATTTGCACAAGAAATCTTTGTGAGCACTTTTTTCTCATAAAACTGAAACCACGTGTTTCAGTTTTAGAGCCACTGAGGTGAGCTCAGGCCTGGGTCTCACATCTCTTCTCAAAAAGCCAGATTTGCTCGTTTGTGGTGCTCAGGAGGTTGTTTGGTACCTACTGAGCGGGCAGAGAACTGCCAAAGGGCCACCTCCTACCTTCTGTGACCTTCAGCTCAGCTGATGTTTGCTGCTCCTTCAGTTCATTTGTTATGCACCAATAATAGCCCTTGTCTGCGTCACTCAGCTGGTTCAGGATGACGGTGACTGTCCTGTTATTCGGGTTCTCAAACATGGCCACTCTTCCCTCGAACTGTGGCCTCACATAACCTGCGTTGTCTATGATCCTGGTATATTTATCTGATTTCCACTTGGCCCAGACCCTCGTTGAGGACTTCTTTAGAGGCTCATAGAGGCATTCGAAAGTTGCTGAACCTCCCTCTGTCGCAATTACCGTGGACTTCATTTGAGGGAAGTTTTTGTCTGTCGATAAAAATGACATGAGCGGTTACGAACGTCTCACTTGTGTCCGTGGGGCACTCTTCCAAGAAAATAAATATTATCAGATCAAACAAAGCTCTTATGGCTAAAGCAAGGTTAGGCAAAGCTCAGGGGTGCAACCAGCAGAAGGCTGTTCTGGCACTGTCAGGAATTGATCCTAAAGAGTCTGTCAGGCCTTTCTTTTCCCCAAATTCAATGGGTGCTTGTTGGCTTTGTGTACAGACATTTCAAAGCTTTTTTTTTCCTTTGCTAGAGGAAGGGCAGGTCTTCTCCTTTCTACATCTGTCATATTGAGGTTCAAGGAATTAAGACCTGAAGAGATGGTTTGTTTGTCTCAAACTTGGAGGTGGAATTTGTCCCCTGGAGTTTTGGACTGGGGAAGACAGCCAGCCACTGCTGGGAAAGCTAAGTCTTGATACAAGCTTTATTACTGATGATTTAGTGAATTACAGATAGTTAAATAAATAGGAGTATCTAGATGAAGAATAGGATAATAGCAGCCTGCAAAGGGAAATTAAAGTCCTTGTTAAATAAAGCGAGACTGCTAGCAATGCTTCTGAAGAGAAGCAGAGATGAAGTGGAAAATGCACTGGGAATAGCTTACCCTCATAGATAAACACATCCAGCTCCTTGGATTTTCCATTTTTCCCGTATTCACCAGCCCCACAGTGGTACAAGCCTGCATCTTCCCAGTCCATCTGAGTCATCATGATGCTGAATGAGCCTGGAGAGCGCTCGAGGCTCAGCAGAACTCGCCCCCTGTAATCCGCATCAATAACATCCTCTCTGATGTTATCGATGATGTCGTGGCAACCTCCTGCCTCCATCTTGCACAGGTATTTCCTGAAGTAGGTAAATTCCTCCCCAAAGCTGCAGGTCACGGTCCAGGTGCTGTACAGCTTCACGTAGAAGAGCTCAGCTGCCTCGGGTACGTCTGGACCTGTGCATACAGAACCACAGTCAGGGCCTGCTGCCAGTGGAATGAAAACTGCTGTTTGCTGAGAGCAGGGAGCCCCTGCTCCACAGGCGACCTGTGGAGCCTTATTTAAAAGGGGAGGGAGAGGGGGTGTAAGAGAAAATAATGCTTTAAGAGGCCCCAGAGCTGTAATTACCTTGGGAAACGTTCAGAGTGACTTTGTAGGAGAGCCCTCTGCCATTGTCACCAACGCCACACTCGTAAGTGCCGGCGTCCGTCGGCGCGAGGGAGGAGATGTTGATCTGGAAGTTTTCTGCCTCTGGGTAGTCAGTGAGGGAGATCCTGCCCTCATAGCCCGAGGAAACGTAGCCAGTGGTGGAGGCAACAGTCACACACCTCCTGCCCGACTGCTTGCACCAATATTTCCTGTCGTGTCTGTTCACAGAGGTGGGGGGGTAGAAGCACTTCACGGTGACCGACCCGCCCGCCACGCCGTACACCTGCCGTGGCCCGAACACAGGGCTTAAGACTGCAAGAGGAAAACATGCTGGCTGTAAATGTCTGTAAACCTCTGCCACACAGCTCAGGCATCCCGGGCGAGCATGGACCCGGAGTGCTGAGCAGCACCAGGTGCCCCGAAAAGGTCCCGTGGCAGCGGTGGGCACTGATGGGGTGAAGCTGCTCCCTGAAGGTGCCACCACAAGAGCTGTGCCCCGGGTGAGTTGCACTTACTTGTTGCCTTGGGGGGGTGTCTGCTTTTTGCAGATCCAGCTGGGAGGAGGGCAAGGAGGAAGATGAATGCTAGCAAAGCCATTTTTCTTGCATTCCCTGGGAAAGACACAGAGGTTGGTGAGTAACTGCACTTGCAAAATTTAACTTAATCATCTAAATCTTTTTGGGTTGGAGGATATGAGGGTGGTGGCCACCTGAAGGAGAGAGAAATATAGTTTTTAATTGCTTCTGTCAAGGAATTGAATGGGAAAGAGGAAGTTGATAACTATTCTTGCCTCTGGGTCTCATCCCAACACCCCAATCTCCTTCTGTAATGTGAGGAGTTCCTGACTGAAGCCTGTTTTTAATTCCTGCTCTTTGTTTCCCTGGTCTCTTCAAGGACCCCTGAAAGCGAAAAATGGTAACATTTTCATCTCTACTTTTTTTCCCCTTTTCTCAGCTACAGCTTAGTGAGCTGCAGGGATTTACCTCAGCCCTGCTTCTCCAAGAATCAGACTTCAACCAAGTAAAGCCCTGCCCAACCTACTGCACACAAATTAACGCTTGGCCAGGATCCAGTGATGGGCAATAACCAACCAAGCTGCATCTCTTGAAATACATCCATAATCTTCAGGATGAATATTTCTGACCTTCCTTTTGGTTTGGGCAGTGATGGCTCAGAGGAAACCAAGACTCTCAATTGACTCAACTGTTTTCTTTGGCCTGAACTGCCTGTGCTGTTGGACACTGCCCAGTACAGTGATGGGAATGTGCATTTCCCGAGCACGGCTCTTTATCTCCCTTCCAAGTTCATAGAATACACTGGGCTGGAAGAGACCCATCAGAGATGATGAGAGGTGCCAAGGAAAATCTTTATAAACAATCAGAGGAATTTGATTTCAGGGCATCAAGTGACACTATTTTATTAAGGGTAATTCCCGGTAGAAGAAAAAGGGGTTTATTTCCCTGTTAAGATGAAAGGTGTTCTGTTGTGCCTTCTTCCTTGTATTGTGATTTCCATTTGCTCAATGGCTACTTGTCCATGGCTAATAATTAACTCACTGAGCATGAAAAATGCTCTTTCATACATATCCCAGCAGTAGCCAGCAAGATAAACACGACATATTCTGCAAAAAGCAAACACTATGGCACAAAGAGGGCCTTGATATTTGCCCCTGGCTAACTAGCAATAGATGTGGTATGAGACCTCTCTGCCTGTGTTTCCTAATCCACAGTGTGTGGACACTTTCCTGGTTCAGCACTATGGGACTGACTTAGGTTGGGACCATCACCTTCCTCTCCAGCACTGTTGTATGCCTGCATTGTGATATTTTCCACATTTCCAGCTGCAAGAACTCTCTGACCAGGTTGGCTCTTCCAAACCTCAGCCATGACAAGACCTTCCCTGCATTTCTGTTGTGCTTTTGGGAATCTGTCACTCCTAGGGAGAGAAATATCTCCGGGTTTATAATGATTTGGAAGAGATCAGGACCTGATTCCTGAATTGTGCAAACCTGAGCAAGCAGCTGCTCTGGCTGGGTATGAAATACCAGAGTCCAGTTCCCAAATTCTGCTGACTCAGCTGCACCAGGAGCATGCCAGCTTCTCAGAGCTCCTGATGGAAGTTGCCAGGGATCAGCACAGTCCAATCCATTAGCTATTAACTATTGCTCTTAACAATGACCAGTGTCAAGGCCGTGCTGTGGGATCGACAAAACACGAGGATTTAGTCGTGACATTTGTCATTCCAGCCTGGGATCCCTTCTGTTTTGTGGAATGTTTGCTGTTATTCAAATAGCTGAAGAAATAATAACATATAGGTAACACAGATACTTTATATATAGGTAATATTTTCCCCCCTCCCCAAAATCCTTTTAAAGCAAGACCAGCATTAGAGGTTTTACTGTGAGGAGGAGCACTGGCATTTGTGCTGGGGGTGATTTATGAAGGTGCTGAAGACCTCTGTGCCCCCCAAAAAAGGGCACAGCAACAGATTTCTTCCTGCACAGGACTGGGTTATCCACATCTTTACATTGCTCATCAAGGTCACTGCGAACTCAACTTACTGTGAGTTTTGTTTGCTGTAGCAGGATGGGGAAAAGCCACCATTTCACCCCATTTTCATGGAGTTAAGAATGAGGAATCGACTCTCAGATAAAAGATAAACACTGCCCTGCATGAGCAATGTGTTCCAGAAAAGAAATGACACAGAATAATCAGACAACCCTCATGGAAAGGACTGAAATCCCCGCTGAGATCGTGCTGCTGGCCTAATTTTATGTTCCTTTAAGCTGTTAGATTCATCAGGACATGACCTAATTTTATATTCCTTTAAGGTGTTAGGCACCCCATGCACCAACCTGTTGCTTTTCAGATAAGAGTGTTGTGGTTCATGTGTTTCTTGGGCTGGAAAGCGAAACCATTAAATATTCTATAGTTTATTAAATATTGGACACTATTAAATATTCTATAGTTTAATGCTACTCCTACTGCAGGGAGCAGGAACATCCTGAGGCCCAACTCACTGTACACCCCAGTTTGTGCAGCCCCTGGATGGGTGGACAGTGCCAGTGCAGGATTCATTAACAATTAGGAGGTGATATTTCTCTGTACTTCAGATGGAATGTATTAAATCCTATAGGAACGTTTTCTTTGCAGAGTAAGAACTCAGGTGTGCAGAAACCCACACCTTCAGTTTGTCTGAGTGTGATGGGACTCTCTGATTTCAGTTTTAGGACACCCTGCCCAGCCCATTCTCTTATGCTTCAGTATCTATTTATCTTCCTGGTAACTGTATAAACTTGAGAGCTCTCCAGACCTCCTTTAGGACATAACTGCACCAATTCTCTTCAGTTTCAAAATTTACCTGCTGTAATTCAAAAGACTCTAATGACCTCAGGCTGAGTAGCAAAGCTTTAGGTTGCTATAGTAATATTTACTAACATTTGTTATTTTCTATGCTAATATTTAACGCAAATATTGTAATGATAATTATCCTTTTTTTTTTTTTTCCAGAGGGGAAAGATTAAAAAAACTTCTGCAGAGAAGCAAACATAACTGTCATAACCCTGTTCCTATGCTTTTGACCTTCTTTCACAAGAAATCAGCCTCCCACCAGTGAGACCTGCTGGTTCAGAGCTGCTGCTTCCCTACACGTGTGAGGAAGAGCCCTCAAAAGAGGCTGCAGACTGCTGCTCTTCTCCTTCCCCATCTCAAAGAGGTAGTGAGAAACATTTTTGCATTTCCAAAAGACAACGAAGCAGCTTTACTTACACCTTCAGTTCCCTCTGCAGGATCTTGCTTTGCTTTTCTTTCTGAAGGCTCTCGCTTCGCTGGTGACCCTGGGACCTTCTGTGAGTGTCCTGCCTCCCTGTCCCAGCAGGACAAGGGCTCTGGCACTGCCAGGCTGGCTTAAATACGCCTTTGGTCCTGCATTTCCACCTGTTGTGCCTTAAAGGAATAGCATCCAAAAGCTCTGGCAGGTGAGCACCAGCCCACGTGAGAGCCGGGAAGCCAATGCCCGGCCCGGCTCTGCTGTCACTCCGAGGGTGCACCCTCTTATTCACCTCCTGATTACACACCCCCCACTGCACAACAGCCACCCCAAGGGTGGGTGGGCTCCCAGGAATGGCCCAGGGCACCTCTGCCTCCTTCAGGAAGGAGTCTCCATGGGGTCAAGTCCATGGAGCACCTTTCAGGCAGATTTTTGCTCGGACAGGAGCCAGGCAGCCTTGGTTTGAGGATGGTGCCTATGCCTGGCACAAAGACACTGGGGAGCCTCAGGGGGTCTAATTTTGAGTCCCCTCAGCCTGGTGGGAAGAGCAGGAGGCTGGGTGAGCAAAGTTGGTCTTGTCTGCGAAGACCAAGAGCATCGCAAGCTCTTTAAAATCAAAAATAATTAACAGGAGCTTTGCTGCCATCTCCCACCTCATTTCTTTGCTCTCCTGCTGTGGGCATGTCAGGAGCCCAGATATAAATTCCCTACGAGGTGTGGGGTTCTCAGAAATGAGAAAAAAAGTAAAAGTAATGAAGATGAAAATATTTGTATTATGTGGGATGAATCATTAACCTGCTTTGCCTTGTACTAACAATACAAAAGCAGTAGTTCCTTCCAACTGGGGGGGTCACACGGAGCTCTCCTCATCTGCTCTCAGTGAAAGCTGGAGAGTTTGAACAGGATGGCAGCTCCAGCTGTTCCTGCTGTGCCTGGGAGCAGCAAGATCCTGACCTGGAGTTGGGATCTTTAAGAAATTTCTCAGATCTGAAAGCCAGCCTTGGAAATAACTTTGATTTAGCCAAGGGTGCTCCTCATGCAAATACATTTCCTTGCTTTAACACACGAGGAAATGTTCTCCTGCCAAGTCACAGGTTCCAAAGCATTTTGGCATCTCCAGAAAACAAACAACCTTCGGATTGCTTTTATTGAGGGGGGGGGGAGTGGGCAAAGCCCAATTTGCAGCACGACACACAACCTGAGAGCACAAACCAAAGCTGCTGTTTGGGGCTGGGCAGTGTTTGGGCTGAACTGGTTTGGTTTCGAAGCTGGGGATGCTTCTGCAGAGGGGGTGAAGGGAAAACAGTGCTTGGGAACGTGGGGTGTCTCATAAACTGAAATCAGAGGTGGTTTGTGTGTTGCAAAATGACCCAATGGGTCAGGTTTTTTATAAAAAAACAACAGAAAATCCTTATTTTTTGAGCAACCTGGGCTAGTGGAAGGGGTGGAACAAGATGAGCTTTAAGGTCCCTTCTAACCCAAATCAGTCTGTGATTCTCTGATTTTTTTGACTCTCACTGAGCCACCCTGAAGGACCATGATGTTCCTTCCCTCCCATGACCTTTCCCTCGGGATTCTCTGCCTCTGCAAGTCAGAGCTGCCCCCAAAGAGCCAGGTTACAGCTGCTTTATTTTATTCTCTGTTCTGCAAAGCACGTGGCCAGTGCCACCTGGGGATTCAGCTCTCAATAAAGGGCATTTGGGTTCTGAGCAGGGCAGGGAGCAGTGAGGGGTTCTTGGTTGGTTTTCCATAGGGAATCTTCCCAGCTCATGCACAGGGGGGGCCTTCACAGCAGGTTCTGGCTCAAGTCTTCATCAGTCACCTTGAAAAGCATTTTTTCCCCATAGGGTGGCTGTAAAATAACAAAACACAAGGAAAACTGTGATCTGCTGTTGCCTCTTTTCAATATTTTTGCAAGTCATTTCATGGGCTTTTCTGTTTTTCCGCCGAACTTGGTATTTCAAATGGGTCTGATGTTTTAGGGAGTCCTGAGAACAGAAAGCTGGGAAAACCTGGCTCAGAGGGGAACATCTGGAGTCAGCCTCTTGCTCAGATTAAGAGGAGAATTATCCCAGGCTTTACCTCAGATCAGACATCTGGGAACAAAAGGCACAATTAACAAATATTGGTTTTCATTCTCACTTTCAGAGGTTTTTCACAGGATGTTGATTGCTTATTTTCAAGGTTTTAGGGGAGATGTCCTTTTTTCCTTCCCATTATTTAGATTTAGGACCCCTTTTGGCTCTCAGTGCATTGTAATGAGAATATGAAATCCCACCAACAAATTTTTGAACCGTTATTTCAGTATTTTTTTTTTAAAGGAGAAATTCTCACTGATACAAATTTCCACAGATTAGAGGTTTTTAAAAGACTTTCTCAGGTGTTTTCTATATGAGCTCCTCTCTAAAGAGTAACATTCTGAGGCAGACCCACTGTATTTATATTTTACCAGAAGACAGAGACTCTTACATATAAATTGGTGATCCTGAATCTTCCAAGGATAGCATAGATTTTCCTGCACAGTAGGACAGAAAAGAATGATATTGTTGCAACACAGTGAACAATAATCACTTCTGTGGAATACCAAAAAAGGTGATAAGCAATAAGATTTCATTGGAACAAGCAGGAAGAGTGATAACAGGTTTACTACATGTAAGCAAAAATTACAATCAAGCCTATAATAAATTTATGGACTTTATATAGGATTTAATCCAAGTCTTTTGAAATCTATGGCTCAACATTTCTTGGTAAGGAGCAAAGGCAGTAGTTTGGCAGCAGAACACAAGTCCTGGACTGTAGATTGCAATTCCTGGACTGCAAACCTTGTGTCTCTCCCATGAAGGTATTTTACTTACTAAGCCACGAGTTCTCTGCTTAAAATGTGGTTTTATTCTCTTCTAACCAGGGACATGACACAGTGCCCGTTCCAGAAAACACCCACCTACATTTGCCAGAGTCCATCTTGCATTCCTGCACTTTTCCTGGGCTCGAGGTTTCCTCCATTGTTTGCTCTTTTGCAGGACTTGGACCAGCCTGAGCCGTCGCTGCCTCCAGGTTTGCAGTGATGCTTCTTTCTACTCCTTTAAAACAAAAACACATGGATGCACTGGAGGGAGCACCTCCATTAATGCCTCTTTAAAGTATTCCAGCGTGCCAGGCACCAGATTAGGCTCATTGTTTCCCAGTTTCATTCTCGTGAAAAATGTATTTCCTCTCATTGCTGAAGGTTTTCCATCCCTAAGTTTATCTCTACAGACATGAAATGTTCTGGGATAAGATATATGCATCTATTTTTAAAAACAAATCATTAGGAGGGATTTTTGGGCCTTTCTCTATCAGTTTTGCACTGAATGAGCTGGATTTGGCCCCAGAAACTGCTCAGGCCATGCAGGTTCCTGCTCTTTGTACCTCAGGATTTCCGAGCACTCGCAGTGCCATAAATCTTCTACACACAAAAACCTGACCTTGCTTTCATCAGGGCTTCAGGATTTCCATTTCCTTCATTTGCTTTTTGGTTAAGCATATTTAAAAAAAAGAAAATAAAAAGGTGAAAAAAAAGAGCCAAACAACTTCTGGAGGACTTTGCTTGCTTGCACTGACAGCTGTGCTTTCAGCCTGCACTGGCCACACAATGGACATGTGTCCCCAGAGGTGGAAATATTCCATGGGTCAGACTCCAGCTCTTGGAAATCACAAGCCAAACCCCCTGTAAAAACAACCACTGCAGCCCAAAGGGTGTTGCCCGACCAACTTACCCGTCTTCTTTTGAAGTTTTATTTTGACCAGGGTGAGAAGAGTGATGGTGATGCCAATCAGCAAAGCAAGAGCTGGTAGCACAGCTGGGAGCAGGCGGGATTCACCTGATGAGCTGGGAAGATGAATCACCAGAATTAAACAGAATTTTGATTCCCCTATGGGCAGGCTGTTGTTTTTACCCCACAGAGTATAAAGGTGTTATAAACTCCGACTGATTCAAGGAACAGCCAGCAAAGTCGAGTTGAAATCATTTGAACTGGACTTTATCTTAGGAGGAAGTAATTTCTACATCTACCTCTGCTCTGCTGTGTGGGGTTTGTGCTGCCAGCCCCTCCAAAAGAAAACAAGCTGTTTTCAGGACACAAATTCACAAGCAAGGTCCACACACCCTTTCTGTGAGCTGTTATGGACCCTGACGCTGTTGGAAGGTGTCCCCAAACCATCTCCTTGCAAAAATGATATCAGAGCTCCCCAGGCAGAGAGGGCTTTGCCAGGAATGGTGGGGAAATCTGAGCCTTTGTACAAGATTTGCATGATTTGTGATTATCAACATCCTCCCCCCTCCTCCTTCTGGCTGGATGGGTGGGAGACATGGCTTGGAGGGGGCTGGGGATGGTGGACAGGGCTGGAGAGAGAAGCCTTGGAGCTGCTCACAGCCATCCTGCCTAACAGGAAGCACAGAAGGTAAATTCAGTGGGAAACCACTTGAGCCCCAGGGCTTGGTGTGGACAACTGCCACGGAATAATTACTGGCCAAAATACCCACAGCCTTCTGATTAACCTTGTCCAAAGATAACTGCTGATGCAACACTGGGCACCCAACACTGCCCAGGTTAGTGGCTGCTGCAGGGGCTTGGATAAGGTGGTGCACTCAAGTGTGCAGCAGGTTCAGATTCACCAGGTTATTGCTCAAGCCCGCTGTTTCTCAAGGTCCTGTCTCTGCACTGAGCAAAGCAAAACAGACAGGAGCACATCTGTTGACTCTGGCACCTGGTCCTCAGGAGAGGGCAGCACCAGAAAGCTTGCAGACAAGTTCAAAGAGAAGTGTACACGGAGGTGAGGTAACCTTGCCTTCTTCTTCACTGACTTCCAATGTCTCCTGCAGGTGTTTTCAACTTGCAACCTGTGCACAACCCTCTGTAGGGCCCTGGGAAATGGGGCAGGCAGGTCATAAACCACCAGGTCAGTGCCAACATGGCTGTGGAATTACCTCTCCTGATAGGTTTCACCTGGGGAGGTTCCAGAGGTGCCAGGGGTGGTAGTGGGCAGCAGGGTGCTGGTTGTCTTGGTGACAGTGCCCACCGTGGTGCTCTTGGTGACAGTGCCCATCACGTACACCAGGCCTGTGATGCTCCTCCGTGTGGGTGTGCTGGAGGCAGCCGGACTTGACGAAGTGGACTTGACAGGAGTGGTGGTTTCTGGGTCTCGTGAAGAGCAGATTTCTACAGAGAACATTATTTTTAGGCTTTAATACCTGTCTCTTTGCCGAGGCAACGTGTTAGAGCTGCCAAAGGTTTGTGCATTTCACCTTGCAACTCGGCATGAAAAAAAAAATACCAGACCCAAGCGCTTTCTGTTTTCCCTTGACTCTTACAGAAAGCAGCTTGGGAAGGGACCTGAAAGATCACCCTGTTGTGTTCCAGGCCACCCCAGCACCTACCCTTCTGGATGTGCAGCTTCACAGAGGACGTGTGCTCTGTGTGCCCACTCTTAGCCCTGCACCAGTACCAGCCTGAGTCCTCCTCTCTCAGCTGGCTCATCACCACCGTGTCCGTCCCGCGCTCGGGGTCGCTGTGTGTTGTTTGTATCCGCCCTCTGTAGGACTCGTGCACAAACCCGTCGGTGTCCAGGAGCAGGGAGCAGCTCCCTTCCTCCCACCTGCACAAATACTTCTTCTCGTAGCTCCCCTCGGGGTCATAGTGGCACTGGAAGGACAGCGAGCCTCCCACTGTGCCGCTGAGAAATTTGGATCTCCTGGGAAGAGCGGAGGCTGCAGGTTGGAGGGGACAGAATTAGTGTTTGATGCTCCTCATCTGACACTGTGAGGAACCTGTGCAGCCCCCGTGCCCTGTCCTACCTGTGGTCACCTGCAGAGCCACCTCCTGTGGGCTGTCCCCACCATTCAGCCTTTCCACCCCACACATGTACAGCCCTGAGTCTTCCTTTGTTAAGTCATTTATCAGGACTTTGAAAGCTCCAGAGCTCTCCCGAGGGGTGATGAAGATTCTCCCGTGGTATCTCCTTCCCACGTAGCCATCGGAGTCGGCTAAGAGAGTGCAGCTGGTTCTTCCCACTTTGCACCAGAACCTCTTCCCACCGCTGTGGGTGTCCCCAGAGGGGCACAGGACTGTGACAGAGCCACGGAGCTTCCCTTGGACGACCCGGATTGGCCTCGACACAGGGGCATCTGCAGGGAGAGAGCAGGACAGAGACTGTCCAGCACACAGCCAGGTCGGGGAGAGCCTCCTCTTACATTTACGAACAGCTGGTTTGTCCAAATCTCTGTGCTTTCACATCCCACTATTGCAAGTATACACCTCATGACTGTAATTACATGGCTTCCCACCCACCTGCCCAAACCTACCTGGCAAAACCGTCAGGCTCAGGCTGACGTGCAGGCCCCCCCGGGTGGGGCCGATGCCACAGCGGTACCTGCCCGTGTCGCTGCTCTTCAGCCCCGTCATCGTCACCGCGAAGGTGCCGCTCTGGGGGACGTCCTGCAGGGACAGCCTCCCCTCGTACTCCTGGGAGGCAGGGGAGGTTGAGGAGACGATGGTGTAGCACACCCCGTTCTCTGCTATCTTGCACCAGTATTTTCGGTCGTGTTTGTTGGCTGGTGTGACGGAGTAGAAGCACTGGTGGGTGACGGACCCTCCGACCCCACCGGTCAAAAACCTGGGGCCGTACAGGCTGCCTGAAACCGGCTCTTTGGGGGAGGGAAAGAAGGAGAAAAACTGCTGTTGGTTACTCAGAGACAACCAGATCCCACTTGGCAAACCCAGCCCCTTCGAGTCAGGGGGGTGGTTCTGAGCGGCACCAGCGGGACATCTGGCTCAGAGAGCCCGCAGTTTATTTTGGATGTGGTGTGGTACCTTCCCTCAGGGCTGCATTACCCATCTACACCACGGCACAGATGGGGAGACCCTTCATGACCCTTACAGGATGTCCCAGACCCCCACCAGCCTTGGAGTTAAAGGTCGAGGGCAGCAGTTAATGGCAAACACCTAAGAATAACCTTTGGCTTTTGCAAACTCTGCCTTGACCTGGCAACTTCCTTCTCCCCACAGATGCTGCAGTGAGAGCAATGGAGAGCTGGGATTCTCCTCCCAGCTCTTGCCACGTTTTGCTGACTCTCTGCAGATTTCTAGTGGGCAGGGAGGGTGGTTCAACTGGTTTCCATATTGCAGGTGGATATATGTGGTGTCCAAGTGAGGATTTAGCCAGAAGAACGTGGCCTGTGTCCCCAGTTCCAGCTTTACCTGTTCTTATCACTGTAGCTGGCTGGACACCTGGTTTCTTGGTGACTCACCTTGCAGCAAAGCTGCCAAGAGAAGGAGAACCGCCATGCCCAGCCTCCACGAGGGTCCACTCAGCAAACTTCAAAAATCTCACGCTGGGGGTGGGATTTTGCTGATTTCTGTGTTATCAAACAGAAGGGAGAGAGGCTGTGGCTGGGATCTGCTGAGGTAAAGGGCTGGATTGCTCTGAGAGGCATTTGGAGCAGATAGGGCTGAAGAAATGTTCTCTTCCCCTTCCAGTGAAGGCTGTGGGGGGGTCCAGCTGGCCCAGGATCCCCTTTGGGTGTTCCCCTCCGGGTTTTCCCCGTTTCTGAGGTAGCTCTGCAGGGGGATGTGTCTGTGTGTGTGTCTGTGCACAGCTGCCCAGCCACATCTGCCTGCACAGCCCAGCCTTCTGTGCCCAGCAAAGGGCCAGGAGGATGTTCCAGTCCCCCCCCAGCTCTGGGCAGTGGGTTCAGCAGAGCCTCAGGAGTTCCCTCATTGCAGCCACGGGATGGGTGACTCGAAAAATGGGGATTTTCACTCAGTGCCATCATTCCCACCAATCTGGAGGCCTTGAAGCAACAAGGAGCTGACAAGAATGAGCTGAATGTCCTTGTTTACATCAGGAAAAATATTATCCCTGTGCTTATTTAATCTTTCCTGATGTACAGCACTGCAGCTGAGCCAGTGCACTCTCTCTTTTCCTCATTTTTAGGATTAATATCAGCAGGACAGAGCTGTCAGCTACATTTTAATTTCATTTAATCTTAGGGTTTAGGCAAGGAGGTGTTCCAGCAAATAGGCATTAAATACAAAGCAGAAAGTGTGAAAAAACGAGATCCATGTAAATCCCAGAAGTAAACTATATATGATTGGGTTTTTTTCCTGTCCTCATTTCAGTTTTATATTGTGAAAATATTTATATGGTCAATT